GGTCAACTTCCACAGTAGATCCCAGATTTGTCTATTTTCCTCCACTCCCACTGTCAATCGTTACTCTATCCAATAAACCATCATCTCTCTCCAGGCCCAAAATAGCCTCCTTCTTCATCCCTCTGCCCCCATATTTGCCCTCTAAGATCCTTCCTCCTCAGGACAGCCAGCATGATATTTTTAAGACATAGATCAAACGGAAGCAGCCCCCTCCTCAAAACCTATTCACAGCTCCCCATTCCTCCCAAGTTGAATCCTTACCTCTTTTCCATCTACAAAACTCACGGACCTGACCTACACCTATGTCTGCACCTCATCTCCTAATGCCAGGTTTTCCCAGTCTTATTGCCATTAAGTGGGTATGAGCTCTTCCTGCCTGCAAAGCCTTCCTGGCCCCTCAAACTGCTTGCTCCTTTCTATTATAGTGGCCATTTTTGTGTGTGTTCTTCAGAGACGCCTTCTCTATCAGCTCTAGCTAAGTTTTACACCATCTTCATTCTCATTGCCTTCTGTTACTTCATCCTGTTCCTTTTCTTCATTGGACCTAAAATTATTTATAAGTGCATGCATACCTCCTTGTTTATGATCACTTTTCCCTAATGGAGTACAATCTCTGAGAGGGCCGGAACCATATCAGTTTGTTATCAGCGCGTACTCACAGCTCAGCATGGTGCCTGGCATCCAGAAAGGACTACATACTGCGTTCCAGTCTCAGTTCCCTTGCTCTCTAGCTATATACTTGGCAAGGACCTAACTTCTCTGAGCCTCTGACTTCTGGTCTGTACAATGAGAGCAATAATTCCTACAGTGATGAGTCAAGATGTTGTGAAGTTTAAATGAGATGAAAATGTATGCAAAACTCTTTGAAATCTGAAGAGGATATTCTAGCCATGTGATGAATTATTTATGCCCCAACTCGGGGTCAAAAAGGAAGTGTAGTCAGGCCGACCCTGGTTCTGACAACTGCCAGGTGCTTTCAAGGCTTCTCAATGAAGTGTAGGCTTCAGACAAATGGGAAATCTAATAGACCTCTCTCTGCAGTTGGCCGCATCTCCAGCCAGCACAGATGTGATTATAATTAGAATTTTAAGAGTTCTGTTTCATTTCAAAAAGATTCCATGGTACAATCTGCAGTCTACCTGAGATGTGTGTCTAGAAGCAGATTCCTGTGGCAGGTGATTTTATTCTAGCCTATTTGCTTCTTTTCTTACAATGTCAGGGGTGTCTGTTTCTATTATACTCATTATTTTCAGTTGCCAGGTGAGAAGAGCTTTTCCATATGGGAGATTTCAGATGGTGACCACTGAGCAAAATACATAGTTCTCACCCACTCTCATCACTTCTTAAATGAACAGTAGCTTGGACAAACTTGCTTCAGCAAACCCAGGCCTTTTTATTAGCAGCCAGAGAATGGTCTACAATGGGAAGAATTACTCTGCTCATGCATTTCTCCAAGGGAAAACATTTTTTCAGCCTGTCAAGACAGTGAAACCTCTTATTAGAAACTATAGCAAAGTCAATTTCTCTATTCTTGTTACTAAAGGATTCAGGACACACCTCACTGCAGACCCTAAATTAACAACCCAAGGGGAGTTGAGCTCGGTGGAAATGGGCGGGGATGTCCAAATGAGTGGGACTCAAATCAAAGCTGAGCCCAGCATGGGCGTTTACATATTTCAAGCTCCATTACCTGCTTTTCTGCAGAGTTCTTTTGATCACAACAACCCTTCACTAGGCAGAGTGGCAATAGTGGCAAGATACACCCAATCTTTAGAGACAGTTAAATTTGGGGGGGAAGGGGTTTCTTTTTATTTAGGACTTGCCAAGTGACACTATCTAATTACTTCCTATTTAAGCGAGTAGTGCTAAGCAGCCATGAGAGTCATCAGTCCTTGTTGGGACTGCTCTGAGTAAAAGAAAACCTCACCTCTGTAAGGACAAAGAAGCAGGTTGGTCTCAAGCAGCACAATTCTCTTTGCATTTGTCCTTCCATGCCAAGGTCGAAAACAAACAGGTACGTACCTGTGTGTTTCACATCCACTCTGAGTGACAAATGCTGCAGCTCATTGATGAGACTATGAAGTGACTGCTATGCAAGAGCTCAACCCAACCTCTACCGCATTCCTCTTGGATCCTGAGCTGTGTGTTGTGACTATTTGCTGTAGAATCTGCTGGCTGCCTTAAGAGAGGGGGCTGGTTGTTGCACTGCAGGATGAGGAGTGGAGCCATGTCCCGTAATGAGATGGGGCAAACAGTAAGCAATGTCGTCCGTGAGATGACCGCGCTAGAACACACAGTCAGCTGCACTCATTAACCCTCTTCTCTGGAGGTCTTCACCGAGTGACATCTGAACGGTCCCTCAGGTGGCTCTCTAGTCAGTTTGCTTCGAGTCAGCCAGCATCTCTTATCTTCTTCCTCCAAGCCAGGCACTCAAAGTTAGAAATAGGAAGACCCCAATCCTGCCCACAGGAACTTACACTCTAAGTGTAAACTCTTTTTTTAAAAAATTAATTTATTTATTTTAATTGGAGGCTAANAGAAGGTTAGGTAACTTGTTCAAAGTTACACCATTTTAAGTGACTAATCCAGTATTTGAACTTTGTTTTTTAAAAAAGCTTATTTTTTATTTCAAAGCTTCTCCCTTTTTAACTATACCACATTGCATCCTCTTATTACATTGCAACATAATTACTTATAATTATTTTAAATTGCAGTTATTAAAATGTATTTAGCTCCACCTAACTTAACAAGTGATTAGCAGAGACATAAATTAAGATTGAAAAGTGCTTTATAAATGTTATAAATATTCACGTATATTATATATATTTTATGTGTTTAAAAATGAAACTTGTTTATCTCTGGATGATTTAAGTGATGTTTATCTTTTTAACACTGCTATTTTAAAAATATTCTAAAATGAGATTGCATTGCATTCATCTTTTGAAAAAGTGTTAGTTGCTCTTTTGTGTCCGACTCTTTGTGATCCCATGGGCTGTAGCCCCCCAGGCTCCTCTGTCCATGGCTTTCTCCAGGCAAGAATGCAGGAATGGGTAGCCATTCCTTTCTCCAGGGGATCTTCCCAGCCCAGTGATTGAACCTCAGTCTCCCACACTGCAGGCAGATTCTTTACCATCTCAGTCACCAGAGAAGCCCCCTTTCTTGAAAAGTTATTGGTAAAATAAAACAAAATATATATGAAAATGTTTTTAAGACTGTAAAGTGCTAATAAGTATCAGCTACTGAATTCACTGCAATGTAATAAAGCCCTCAACGCATGGATTAGGTTAAAAGCACATCTAATCCACCTTGGTGATTGAAGTCGAATGCCCCAGAGGAAGGTGCTCCCAGAGCAGTAAGACTGTGGTTATCAAGGTCGAACTATCTCAGATTTGGTGAGCCCAGCTTTGCCGAAGGGTACAGAACAACTGAGGCCAAAGCCTGATCAGGTGTTGCAATGTCTAGAAAGTGTAAGTCTCTCCTTCTTTATTGGCAATCTCTCATTCTATCGGAGGTTTAATTTCTTTCTGTCTAGAGAAGCCCAGTTGTACTATTCACATCTGTTATCAGCCACTTTCCCTCAAGGATTCCTAGTGGGAATTTGGTTTTAATGACACTGCATGTGAACTTGGGTCCTCAGCTCCTTGAGAAGATGGATAATAGTAAGCTGATTACTTGGCCAGCCACCCTGGAACTCTTTATTTTAGATGTAGTCCTTCTTTTGTCTCCTTGGAAACAAGCCTCTGCTAATAAGTGCCACTCCTCTTATCTCAATGAAGCTGAACAGTTTCTTCTCAAAGTTACTGATCTTTGACCAACCAACCCCTTGTGTATAGAGGAGAGTACCCTCCCTTTGGACAAAGAAGGTTTGGGCTTCCCTGGCAATTTAGGCTGGTGACAGAGCCTTCTAGGGGTGTTAGCCTAGCAATTCTGAGCCTTAACCATTATCATACATAAAGGTAGCTTGAGGAATATATTCTTAATTTAACCAAAGTTTCTTTCTAGACACTTATTGTATTGGTACATGCTTTCAAGCAGAGTGATTTATAGCTGGGAGGTAAAAATAATATTTTACAATAGTGTTATGATTTCAAGCTTCCCCTGGAGGCTCAGATGGTAAAGCATCTGCCTACAATGCAGGAGACCCGGGTTCAATCCCTGGGTCAGGCAGATTCCCCTGGAGAAGGAAATGGCAACTCACTCCGGTATTCTTGCCTGGAAAATCCCATGGTCAGAGGAGCCTGATAGGTTACAGTCCATGGGGTCGCAAAAAGTCGGACATGACTAAGTGGCTTCACTTTCTTTCTTTCTTATGATTTCAAAGCCATCTTCATTTGTACTATTATCTCATTTAATCACCACAGCGGCCCTACAGGAAACTTAACTACTTTGCAGTGAGGAAGCCAAGGATTAGAAAGGATGCATGATAAGCCCAAGATTCAAGGGCAGGACTCAGTCCCAGGTCTTCTGACTCCAAATGTTGGGCAATTTCCACTGCTTTTCTACAATTAAAAATCTGAGCCCAGGCCATAAGCTGAGCATGTGTAAGGTGGGAATGATCCTACTCACAGTGAAGCTGTCTACTGCAGAAGGGAGAGAGAGCAGACAGCAAAGGCCAGTGTCCACTGAGCTTGTCGTCAGTGCTGGCTGGCTGTCTTCTGCACACTAGCTCCTATAAATGGCATCTCTTTCCCCCATGTGATCAAAATGAAATGGAAATAAAGCAAGATTCAATTACTTCCCTGCAGTCACATAGCTTAAAAGTGACAAAAGTCAGCTGATAACCTGTCTCTCTGACCCCCAAAGTCACAATTTTATCATATTTCACTAGAAACTCAGCACACTCATTCATGTGGTTGATTATAAAAATCATGGCAAAGAAAAGTTCTCTGTTTTGGGAAGATTTGTGTTCTTAAGGACTCACATATATCCCCCTTTCTTCTTCCAGTCCTCCAGAGAAGCTTTCCACGTGACATAGCTGACTTCTCTTCTTCTCCCTGCAGGGTGTGTGCTGGTGGTGTCTATGATTGAACAGTTCACTCAAGTTCACAACTCGACGGTCCAGACCTCAATGGAGAGACTGTGCAGCTACTTGCCTGGTAATGTAAAAAGGGTCACTTGGCTATGGGTCTGATTCTTCTCTTACTCATGAGCCATCATGAGTGAATGTATACCCCACATGAGTTTACAGAGGAGAATCTGACTGTGTTCTTTCTGTGAGTTGATATTCTTAATATAGTTGTTTTAAATTTCATCAGAATGAAAATATTGATTCTATTTCCCTTATATTAGAATATTCTTAGGTGTACAATCACTTCATTGAGAGTCAAATTTTCATTCACTTAATGTTAAGGAACTAATTCTTCAAAGATGCCTACAATATTATTTTTAAGTAAGATAGTTGGACTCATGACAGTTTTATCTTTGACTTAACAAATGCTGTGTCAATGGCATCAAGGCACTTTTAGAAAATTTATTGCTTACAGTCACAATGTACACTCATCAGCTCATTTTTGTATTTAAAAATAAAAACTAAGAGAAAATAATACACAAATACATGTGCTTGCAATGTCCCAGTCTGACTACTGCTAACATTTTGACATAATTGCATATGACATAATTGCATCATCTTTCTTTTATGGAATTAGAATGTGACAAATAAACTAGAAGGCACTTTGGCCTTCCCTGATCCCAGTTCCATTTTCCTCCTACCTCTCTAGAGAGAACCATTCATGTGGACTTGATGGATATTAGCTTTGTCAAATTTTATACTTTTACATTCACTTCATTGTCTCTGAATCTATAGATCATGTATAGTATTATCTATGGGTAATTTTTAAATATTTTCCTGGTAAAAGGAAACAAATGCAGAAAACCACACAAAATAAATGTATAGTTTTATCAGCTATTGAAAGGTGAACATCTCTGTAAACATAGTCCAGAAGAACAGGGCTATGTTCAAAAGAAACAGATTGGTGACTACTCCGAAAGTCCCATCCACATGCTCCATCCCATCAAAAACTCCTCCTTCTCCCTAAAAAAGAAGAAGAAGAAAAAAAAAAAAACCACCTGCCTGTTACTATAATCATCTTCTTGTATTGCTTTATAACTTTATCATCCAACTGGGTATCTCCAGACACCATAGTTTTGTCCAGTTTTTAAATTTTTGATATGTCTTTTAAGTCCCATTTTAATCTACCAGTTCTTTTTCCATCCCTTCCTTTTCCTTGTAAGTGAGCTATGGAATTTGCCCTGTAGTTGCTGCATTTTGTTGGTGGGATTCCTGTGGTAGGATTGACTATGTTTCTCTGTGTCTGTATTTCCTGAAAATGGCAGCTAGATCTGAGGCTTGACCAGACTCCAGTTTGATTTCTTCGGCAAGGCTTTAAGTGATAGTGTTTTCTTTCATCAGGAGGCCATCATAAGTGTTTCTCTCTTTTTTTATTTTTGTGATAATAGCATTGTTGATGCTCTGTGACTAAGTCTGTTACTTCATTGGAGGTTACAAAATGGTTCTGTTCTAATATATCAATTATATTTCATTTAGTAGTTGAAATATATTGAGTCAGTTTCCCCCATCATCATCACCGTTTAGAGATGTTTTTAGATAGTCGAGTTATTGTCTAAAGTTCATTCCTTAGAAAAGACTCATGGGAACAACATTCCCTGAATTCTTGCATATATTTTTTCTCCAGTTACTAACAGTACTATTTATTCTAAGAAAGGCAGGATAAATGCTTGATTCTTTTTCCCTACTTGCCAGTTTTCAAATAATTCATTGCCTTTGTGGTATCATCCCAAACTAGTCATTTAGTCAGTTCAGTTCAGTTCAGTCACTCAGTTGTGTCCAACTCTTTGCGACCCTGTGGACTGCAGCACACCTGTCCTCCCTGTCCAAACTCCCGGAGTTTACTAAAACTCATGTGCATTGAGTCGGTGATGCCATCCAACCATCTTATCATTTGTCATCCCCTTCTCCTCCCACCTTCAATCTTTCCCAGAATCAGGGTCTTTCCAAATGAGTCCGTTCTTCACATCAGGTGGCCAAAGTATTGAAATTTCAGCTTCAGCATCAGTCCTTCCAATGTAATATTCAGGACCGATTTCCTTTAGGATGGACCAGTTGGATCTCCTTGAAGTTCAAGGAATTCTCAAGAGTCTTCTCCAATACCACAGTTCAAAAGCATCAATTCTTCCGCACTCAGCTTTCTTTATAGTCCAACTCTCATATCCATTCACGACTACTGGAAAAAGCATAGCCTTGACTAGACAGACCTTTGTTTGTAAAGTAATGTCCATAGGTTTTCTTTAAAGTATCATTATGAACTCATGAATTTATATGCATTTGATGAGTTTCAGTCTACTTCAGTTATTATCCTTTTGAAGCTCAAATTTGTCTCATCTTTGACCAGTGGGAACTTCTGTAAGTTGACTCCTACATCCTTTTGACATAAGTCTAAGTAATCTTTGATAGCTTCCTCACTAACTGGTATGACAGTTGTACTAGCCTGTCCTGTACATTTCCAAGCACAGACTTGAAATCAGTCATTTCTCTTAGATTCTCTGGTTTCTTTTAGTGGGAAATAGTATTAAGACCACAATCTGAGTGCATAGGAATGTCATTGCTACTCAGTTGGTCATTTTTTCTAGACTTCTTCTGTTGACAGTGATAGAAAACATACATTATATATTTATATATATTATTTTAAGATAAAACATCTAATGAGTTCATACTGTCACTTTAAATTCAAATTCAGGACTGCAGGATTTTTTCTTTGCATCTTCTGTCTCATATCTGTATCTTCTCTCCACAGTCAAAGTCCTAACTCTCATGGACAAGGGGATTGATTAAATTAAAATATCTCATGATTACTCATTTACCTATCCTTCTTTTCACATACAAGAGGCCCAGGATGTCAATCTTAATACTACTATTATTAATATATTTTATAATCTTTGAGAGCAGTTAAATTGTTTTTTGAATATTCTTTCCCCATATCTCTACACTTTTTAATCATTGTACTGTATTATTTGAGCATACAGCCATTACATATAATGTGTACATTCCCTTTGCACCCTCATTTAGTTTTAGTTCCATCAGCAACTATAAGATTGATGTTCACCACCAGCCCTTATGCAGATGTCTCTCTAGTCGAGTTACTATCTAAAGTTCATTCCTCAGAAAGGACTCATGGGAACAATAGTCCCTGAATTCTTGCATGTTGATAACAAGCTGGCTTGTCCTTTATACTTGAAAGTCAGTGTTTTTCCAGATATAAAAATCCTTGGCATGTAATTTCTTTCCTAAGTGTCTTAAATATGTTATTAAAAGTTTAATGATAATCTAATTTTCCTTTTCTTATAAGTCATTTACTGTTTTTGCCTAGTTCAAATGATTTTTTTCATCTTTATAAAATGTAGTCATCTAACTAGACTATATCTTGGTGTCAGTTGTTGTATATTGATGTTCTAGGCACACAGTATGCTCTCTCTCAATGTGTAGCTTCAAATACATTTTTTTATAATCTTACAAATTTTTTAGTATTTGCTCAATTTTCTTGTTTTGGTTTACTTCTTCAGGGATTTATAGTATCCATATTTTAAATCTTCTTTGCCTGTATTCATGATTTTGCCTGTCTTCTTGATTTGGTTTTATTCTTCAGGGATTTACAGTATCCATATTTTAAATCCTCTTTGCCTGTATTCATGATTTTGCCTATCTCTTGAATGAATAATTTAACAAATTTTTTTCTTCAGCTAAGACAGCAAAAGAGATGATTTATTGTATACATGTTACATTCAGCCACAACTGAGAAGATAACTAGTCCAAAAATCACAGGTCCAGGGCAAAGGACCAAAAGGGACCCCTTTGATATGAGCAAGGTGGGTCTCTCAAAGGTGGTCAAGGTGATCAGAATAGCTATGGATGTTCCAGATCCACTGAGACAAGGTCTAGATAGCAGGCATGCCATCCAGCAGTTTGTACCAGCACTGCTGGCCTCTGACTTCCCTGTTTTCTGCTTCTGTGGCTTCCGTGCCTATACAGGTTTACCTGGACCTCTGCCTCACCTTTCTTCTTCTGTGCTTCAGCCTGTGCATTCACTTCTTCCTCCACTTCATTCTCATGGCATGGAGGTTTCTCAAAAGATGGCTTTAAGGCCGAGAATTTATTTATTTTTAGTTGGAGGAGAATCGCTTTACAATGTCGTGTTGGTTTCCGCCATGCATCAACATGAATCAGCCTTGGGCGTGCATATGTCCCCTCCTTCTTGAACCTTCCGCCCCATCCCACCCTTCCAGGGAATCAGAGCACTGGGTTTGAGCTCCCTGTGTCAACAGCAAATTCCTACCAGCTACACACAGTACTGTGTATGTTTCAATACTACTCTATTCACCCTACCCTCTCCTGTCCCACGGTGTCCACAAGTCTTTCTCTATGTCTGCGTCTCCATTGCTGCTCTGCAAATAGGTTCATCAGTACCATCTTTCTAGATTCCATATATATGCATTAATATATGATGAACACTTCTTAATCACTTCATTTGTTTTATCTTGAAAGTTTTCCTCTTTTTCATCTGCTATTTCTCTTACAATGTCAGCTATTGTATTCCTTTCTTCTCACATTCATTCTAATATGGACGTCATTTCTTTTATAATTGTATGTTCTCCCCTGAATTCTTTTATTCTATTTCTGAGTTTTTTTCAGTTCTGATTTCTGTTGTTCTTTCATGTCTTGTATCATTTTATTACTACTTCTCACTCATTTTAAAATACCATTATGTTTTAATCCTTTTTTGGGGGCATGATTTTCTGGCATGCTTTTGCTATCTGTAAGGATGTGATTCTGTTCCTTATTCTTTTTTTTCTTCTTATAATAACTTTGTATGGGAGTTGACCTAGATACATTTCTGTTGCTCATTTTTATGTAAAATTAGTTTTCCAAAACTCTTAGAAATAGAAGTGGTTCAAGGCAGCCTCTCCAAATGCACAGAATTCCTTCCTCTGTTGTTTTTGTTGGTGTTAAAAAATAAACACATGGCTGCTTGCATTTTGAGATTTTCTGATTCTATCTTCCTGCCCACTTTTATCTGGATTTTCT